ACGATTTAAACAATTTAGAATCTACACTACCCCAGGATGCTTCCACATTAGTTTCAGCTTTTGTGGCCCAGTGGTTCTTGAGAAGAAGATTTTCAAAGCTTTTTCCTATATATTTCTATGTAAAACTTTGATTCCCCATTGTGGCCCTGCCCTTCCCCCGGGGATCATGATTTAAACAATTTAGAATCTACACTACCCCAGGATGCTTCCACATTAGTTATAGCTTTTGTGGCCCAGTGGTTCTTGAGAAGAAGATTTTCAAAGATTTTTTATATATATTTCTATGTGAAACTTGGATTCCCCATTGTGGCCCAACCCTTCCCCCGGGGGTCATAATTTGAACAATTTAGAATCTACACTACCCCAGGATGCTTCCACATATTTTTCAGCTTTTGTGGCCCAGTGGTTCTTGAGAAGAAGATTTTCAAAGATTTTTCCTATATATTTCTATGTAAAACTTTGATTCCCCATTGTGGCCCCGCCCCTCCTCCGGGGGTCAAGATTTTAACAATTTAGAATCTACACTACCCCAGGATGCTTCCACATTAGTTTCAGCTTTTGTGGCCCAGTGGTTTTTGAGAATAAGATTTTCAAAGATTTTTCCTATATATTTCTATGTAAAACTTTGATTCCCCATTGTTGCCCCGCCCTTCCCCTGGGAGTCATGATTTTAACAATTTAGAATCTACACTATATTAGAATGCTTCCATATAAGTATCAGCTTTTCTGGCCCATTGGTTCTTGAGAAGAAGATTTTTTAATGACCCCACCCTATTTTTGTCTTTTCTTGATTATCTCCCCTTGTGAGGGAACTTGGCCCTTTATTTGAATAATTTAAATTCCCCTTCACCCAAGAATGCTTTGTACCAAGTTTGGTCAAAATTGGCCCAGTGGTTCTTGAGAAGAAGTCGAAAATGTGAAAAGTTTACAGATGGACAGACAGACGGACGGACGACGGACAAAATGTGATCAGAAAAGCTCACTTGAGCCTTCGACTCAGGTGAGCTAATAAAGACAGGCTAAATACCTGGGTATGTTAAACATTTCGACAGAAAATATTCAAACACAGTTGAGTGAAGCGGTAAACCTAGTATGGTCGTCATTCTAACTGTTCCAGATTTCGTTTTTTTTTCATCGATTATGTTCATGATGTTGGTGTCTTTATTATCCATGCTCAGAACTTCTAAGACTCATTTTCGAGGTAAAATATAATTCCCAAATGCATTTATGTTTTACAAAATTACGTTTACTATGCAGAATTATCATTGTCATCTGCCCAAGAGATAAAACCCACTGTATTGTTATAAATGCAAAAAACGAAAACGGAAGAGGACTTGGTAATGGAGACTGTTATCATGAAGTAAAGTGTAATTAACTTAAATTAAGAAAATAAATGATATTATTTTCTTTTTAATTTTTCAAATTACTATTTCGGACCGGCATATTTTGTCTCCTTGCCGGTCCGAATGACTGGCTAACTGAAAAAGTTTTCCACAGCTCTGATACTAAATATTTTATGGGGTTACTTAAATTACCTTTGGTAGAATCGTTGCTATCATCATCAAATACAGCAGCAATCTATAAATCACAAATACATCAGAGATAGAAAAGGAAATTGTGTTAAATTCAACTTTTCCTAACAGCATATCAAAGTATTATTGTGACATAACCTCAATTCAATAATGATCTTTGAATAAAAAATTTCAAAAAATATTACAAACAGTAGTATCAATATAAAGACCCTATATTACATTTCAGTTGCAAATTATATCTTTACTTCCACTTATTGTATAACTTACTCTTTTCTTCTTTATAACAGAACCTAAAGTTATTTCATCATCATCATCATCACTATCGCTACCTACAAGCACAAAATACATACATGTACAGTTTAATCATAGCATTCAGCTCTGGCAATTAAGTTTAAAGATAAGATTCATTTTTTCCTTCAATTTTATGACTGTATATCAAACCATTCTCGGATCCACTTTCCAATGCTTTGGTTAGAGCTTCATCTATCACCTGTAAATAAGACTGATATATTAAAATGTTTATAAGGAATCATCTATTTTTCTTAGCAAGATTGCAGACCTGTTTACCCATATCGTTGTCTCTTAGTATTTTTGATTAGATTTGTCCATGAGATTTTGCATTTGCCGATAAGATTCCATTTTCCATCAATTTTACATAAAAAATAGAGAACAACTGCTTTTCTGACTACTAAAAAAAGGGTTTAATAACATGGTATTGATCATTTTATACCATGATGTTTTGGCAAACCGACATAACTATGTTTGAAATCTTTTTAAGTAATTATAAAAAGCTTGAAACTGAGACAGCTAGATCATCAAGAAAAACAACTTCTAAATTCTTAACTAGTGTATTTCTTATCCCCGTATTTTCATAATAGCAAAATGCGAGACATTTTTGGAACAAAAATCTGTACAAAATACAGCGAAATTGTAAGAGTAAACAGGTCTGAGAGTGTTTGAAAAGAACTTTCAAACTTTTATGGTCCACAACAAAATGAATAACGAGGACTGCAAAGCAGAGCATTCTTTCACAAGACAGCAGATCCCAAAATGTATTATTACTTCCTCTATGTATATACTCACCATTTACATATTCACAAGTGTTTTAACCCCTTACATGGCATATACGCATTTCTACGCCTCTGACTTGAAAAACGAGTATAGTGTGAAAAAACATTCATCACTTCGTTAATACTGCAAATATCAGAATAAATCTTCCAAGTTTGGAAAGAGAAAATAATTACGATGAAATAATCTACAGAAATGTATTCAGTTGGTTGTACCAGTTTTTTGCTAGCTTGAGTTAAACTTTGCGCACAATTTGAGCGATTTTGCCATTATCGAACTCAATACGGGGGTAACAAGTAATGTGTAAAAATGCTAAATTCTGGTGATTACCTCCCAACCCCACTCCATCCCCTCAAAATACTAAAAATTGGTTTGTGTAAAAATGTACAATATGCTCATAATTTTCAACACAACAATAAAATATTTTTCTGATATATTTAGCTAAGCAGAAAAACTAGAATGAAACTCATTCTTGAATAAATGGAAATTACAGTATGATTATGATTTATTTCGTTGCCATGGCAACTGAAATGATATTTTTATAACCATTTTCAGAAAGTACACAATACCTGCTTTCAGAATATATATACATTGGTATGTACAAAAAATTCAAGAAATACTTAAAAAAAATGCATTGAAATCTTAATATCAATTTTCCTAGAAATGCTTAAAATCTTTGCCATGGAAGAGGTTAATACATCCCCTCCAACTTGTTGCAAGGGGATAAAAACTTTAATTTTGCTACGTAACTTACCAATGGTGATTCACTCTCTGTTCTCCTGACATCTTTTTCTGAAAATATTAGTTAAAGGGTCTGGGTTTTTTTTCAATTACTTCTTAATGCAAACACATGGTAAAAAGAGCCTTCATACTTCTTACATAAGTTTGCTCGAAATAAATTAAACCCTTAAAAATTTAACTTTTATCAATTTCACAACCTTACAAGTCACTCGGTTTGATTTAGAAACATGAATTCCTGTCAACTTTACATAATGCCAAAAAACAAAATCAGAGTCGAGATTTCAGTTGAACAGAGAATACACACCTTCTATTGTTGTTTCTCCTTCCCCCTGAGTACTCTCCTCTTCTTCATCGTCCTCATCATCCAATATCCTCTTACTCTGATGAAACAAAATTGTCTAGTGAACATGCTGTTAAATATGCAGTTTCCCTTCTGCCTTGAACCCAAAATATTTTTTTAATCATCATCTTTTTACTATTTTTAAGCATACTTTTTTTGTCTAACATTTATTACTTGGCCCGTACATACAGAAATCACTCTGTGTATCTTCGATTCTAAAATACCTTCCCTTTTTTGTGTGTGTGTTGGGGGGGGGGGGGGGGGGGGGTTCGTGTAAATGTACATTTTTGGCATACTGTAGATTCCTTATTTTTCGCGAGTACTTTTTATCGCGATCTGGGCCTTTAACGTCAAATCGCGAGAATTATAATTCGCGAATGGACGGTAGATTAACATATTTTCCATAAATTTCAGCACCATAATAATAAAAGCGAGTAATATTTTTTCGCGAGTGACGCTTCTCGCGAAATTACGTGGAAATTAATTCTTCGCGTATAATTAGGAATCTGCAGTATTACTTGGTTTAGATGTTTTCCGTGCAGAATTCAGAATTACTGTTATGACAATGCACATTTGAAATTTACCTGTTTTGATTTTCTGCCTATCAATATGTCATTTTCTTCCTCATCACTCACTAAAAACAAAATATAAATCACTGAAATAAATCTATAATAAAAATTCTTTGATAGGGCCATATAAAAAGTGATAGCAATGTTAAAGCGATGAATAAGTTGAACATGAATCTTGCCTTCTAAAGAAGCTAAATTCAGAAAATAAAGTTGTAAAAGGTAAGCAGTCACAACATTGATTGATTGTATAAATGAATTTGCAATTTTCTTTGGCCTCCACTCTGACTCTTATCCTCACTTCTCACAAGCAGTGGCAGAGTCAAAGCAATCCAGTGCTCCAAGTTGCAACTAAAATGGTCGCATTTGCGACTAAAAAACTGATTTTGGGACTAGAAATAAAAACAAACTCGCATTTTCGCGACTGAGAAAATTTGGGCTGGTAACGTCGATTTTTAAGATCAGGATCGAGATTTACGTTGATCAAGATTCTCTATCAAGAAAATGTTTGAAGACATATACTTTAATACACTTTACAAGGCATCGCATGGACTTGGATAACGTAATGTTATGACAGCATGCTGTAATGGTGACTTACACAAAGTTTGATAGAACCAGAGACATTTATACATAATGTCTCTGATAGAATGGCATCCAAACTTCATAAACTTTCTGGGACCCAACCTTGTTATTGATCATGAAGCATTTGGTCAATTGCTTGCATATCACAACGAATCATGCTAATAAAAAGTGTTTTGGTGGTATTTATAATCACAATAACCGTATAATGAGTTAATAGATAGAATGTTCTATCGTTAAATGATAAATGTCCTACAGACCCGGTTTAACGATAGAATGTGTTCCGTGTAATCACAATGTAGCAAAGTAAACATGGGCGATAACTCGTACTAGTGCATTTACTATGAAAATCAAGAGTTCCGAACGTAAACATGGCGTTTAAATTTGAAGCGAGAAAAAACGGTGAGAAAATTAGTTGAATTTTCGTCTTTATTTAGACTACACTTTAGGTTTAAATACTTACGCAGCCCCAAAAAGGTTTGTTTTGATTAATTTATAAGTTATTTTCAGGGCAAATCTGTTTGTATCCTTCAAAATCGTTTCGGAGCGATTCTGCAATTTTTTGCTACATTGCGAGTATATGGGTGGTATTTTAACTGTGGTGAGAGCTTGTCCCGAGACACAGTTAGATTATTCTAACTAAATGAGTTAAGTACGTAGTAGTAAGTAAACATGACAAACAGGTCGCTAAGTCCTGTGTCAATAACTGTCAGAATCACATTTTCAGTTGAGAAAATTTAATTTCTATGATCAGATTTCTTGTGTTCTGTGTTTTGTACAACCATACGGGTAGATGTATTGAATAAAAATATTTCCTTCAACCTAGCAAATTGTTTCTAGTCACAGTGAAAAAAATTTTAGCGACCTTAAAGCAAGTGTGACTTGGAGCACTGCAATCTTGGATAATAAAAATATAAATCTACACAATCTCAATTACAAACAAGGTAAAATTTTTCCTTACAGTGTATGTCTTGGTCATTAGACTGCTGGCTATCATCATCCATCCCTGAATCCACTTTTTCACTACTGTGAGCATCTTCTTTCAAACTTCCCCTTACTTCAATCTGCTAAAAAAAAAAAACGTATTCCTTTCATAACAGCATGATCAGATTTTTCTAATTTTGTGCATATGGAATTTTTATGCCAACCGCCTAAATGATGTTTAGATCTTTAGGAGTCTGATAAGAATGTATGTGTCCTCACGTGAGCTCATTTTCTTTGACTTGAATTTCATAAAGATACAAAATCAATGCATCTAAACAATAACTTACGGTAGCATTAATTTCTGTTGTTTCCACCGTCATCTTTACATTTCCTCTTTCGCGCGTTATTCCGGCGCCTGCGTAAATCTGCAAACTTCCGGTAGAATACTCAAAGGAGCGAAAACGTGCTGACTTACGAATTCCGGATTATTTTTAAAATGTATTTAAATATAAAATTAAAATACACCACAGTGGTTATAACCAGTGTTAACATGTCGTAAAACTGGAATATAATATTCTTATTTTGTACCATTAACAATTTGTAAAGAGACATATGCATAATAAAATCATGTTATACAAAGAGTAAAACGATAAATCCCATTACTCACCCTTCCTTGTGTGTTCAGGGACGTAGCAACAGGGGGGGCTGGCCCCCCACTTTTTCCCCCAACATTACCTTTACTATAGGAAATGTTCATTGAAAGGATGGTTGCCCCTCCCACTTTTTACCACAGTACAATGATATGAAGGAATGGTGTACAAAAGTGTAGGAAAAAATTGGAAGTGAAAGTAACTTGGCTTTGAAAAAAGTTGGCCACTTTTTTTTTTCTTGCTTGTCAACTTTTTCAGGTAAGTAAAAAAAATTTTTTCTCTGGTTGGCCCCCTCACTTTCAAAAACGATGCTACGTGCCTGGCGTTGAATAATTTTCCATGTATTTTTTTTTTTTTTTTTTTTTGAGACGCAGATTAATACATGTATTTCTCAAATCAGTAGGCCTATAATATCATGACTGATACAATGCTATAGCAACTGACGATAAAACATAATTTTAAAAACTCATTTTATTTGGAAATTATTGGAACCAATTTCGGAACGTGTTTTATACACGGATCCAGAATTTTTTCCAGGGGGGAATCCACCCAAATGAACTGACGAAGGCCACGTTTTCTTGGTTTAGTATATATGCATTTAATAACTCTGCAAAGAATTTTAGATCCGCACATGCGGTTTGATCGACACAGGCTGAACACTTCTGCATTGATCTATTTTTTGGCATATTAAAAAGGTGCAGAAGTCAAATGTACATTCAAGGTCAAATCAAAATAAGACAAATTCTTCAAACATTCAAGTGTTTGCACAACAATTTTTGTCCTCCGCTTTTGCGAAAACCTGGGTTTTTATGACAGACTGACAGACGAATGAGGTTTAATATCTCATTCTTCTGTCAGTCTGTCATAAAAACTTTAAGCTTGGTCAAAACTAAGAGACAGAACTGTGACAAGACCTTTCCAAATATACTATGATTTTTGAACCGATGACCTTGACCTTGAAGTTTTACCTACTTAAAAAAAATTATTTCTTTAAAATGGCCTAAACTTTTGATAGAGAAAAGGTAGGGATTTCATATTACACATGTTAGTTACCTGTGACAAGTCTTTTCTAAATACACTCTGATTTTTACCAAGTGAACTTGAAGATTGGCTTACTTTTCAAAAACTTTAACCTTGGCCATAACTTTTGAATGAGAAGAGATAGTGCTTTCATATTCCTAAAGTCAGCTACCCGAGACGAGACCTTTCTAAATACACTGTGATATTTGACACGTGACATTGAAGTCTGACCTACTTTTCAACAATGTTGGCACATGACGTTACTTATTCTTCTTTTAATAAAAAAAAAAAAAAAAACCCATACCTAATAATATTTCCATTTCTAATTTTCTTTCTGTGATAACTCTTTGAAAGTTAGCGGAGTTGATTTCTTGATAATTCTACCCGAATGTAAATTAGGCAGGTCGATAGATCAGGAGCTGAGAAGGCCTAATACATGTATGCATGCAAATCTCGTGCGCATCAGTCTCTGTGTCTGACGCTAAGTAGGCCAAATATGCATGTAAATCCCGTGCGGCTGCCTTTGTGTTTGATGTCAGTGGGCGAGGAGTATTGAAATTAGTATGAGTATTTAGATCTATGTCTACATTTTAAAGTCCAAATCTACAATTTTATTTCAGAATGAAATGGAAATATAAGGAATCACAGTCTAGTTAGTATAGTATGCCAGGGACATCACGATAATGGGAAACATGGGATAATTTATGCATAGCGGGCTTCGCCTGTGATTTTTCCATATAACTTTTGATAGAGAAGGGATAGGGCTTTCATATAACTTAAGAGCCCTGACTGAGGTGCACTGTCTGTAACAAGATGTTCCCGAGCATGCTTAATCTTTTATCTCTTGACCTTCATGATTGACCTAATTTTCAAAAATTTTGTAATGGTTAAGGGGCGTTTAAATTAACGCAGAGAAGACCTTAAATAATGAATAATTGAATGACCTGACTACCCTTGGAACAGAAAAGCCCAAGGGTATATATAAAGCGATGCTTTAGGGAAATCAGGCATTCAGAAGGTTACGGCCGAAGCAGAAGGCTGAACTGAGAAGATATCGACTTAATATCGGAGAAAATCAAGAAGTTAAGGGTAAGAACAGAAATAGCACCAGTGGCAGGTAATCTAGGGAATTGATGGTAAGTTCTGGGTGCAGTAAATCTGCAGAAGATTGAGACACCCAGTTCTTTCCTATCAAAAGGAACCTAGGGTAGAAACACGGTGCAAAAGCCATACCCAGTCCACGTCTCTAGATAACAAAAATTTTAATAAATTGTGATTTTCCCTCAGACAGAGCTGTCGTACAATTATTAGTCCAATCATTAATTCAGATAGAGTAAGAGAAATCCAATCCACTAAGACACTAGAAGCGGGGGTGGGGGCACAATTCTGTGAATTCAGGGACGTAGCAACGCCCCCCCCCCCCCCACTTTTTTCCCAACATTACCTTTACTATTGAAAATGTCCATTGAAAGGTTAGTTGGCCCCCCCCCCCCCCACTTCTTACCAACAGTATAGTGATATCAAGAAAATGTAGTATTGTACGCAAAAAAATGGAAGTGAAAGGAAGTTGGGCTTGAAAAACGTTGACCACTACCCCCTCCCCCCTTTAACCAAAACTTTCGTTGCAAGATAACAAAAGAAACACAATTTTTAGTTTTGATCTTTTCCACGAATACAATGTATAGTAGAATAAGTAATGGTATCAAGCACAAATAAAAACTAATGAAATGTTAATTGACAAAACTAAACATGATATTACAAGATATTGCACATTAAAATGTCGACATCACATGGACTATTTCTCAGTACACCGGAAGAGCGTCCCACATTTTTTTGGCGCCCTCTGGGTCTATCTGGAAGTCCACAGCGTCAGCGTTCCACATGCCCACCCCTCGTAGTCCGTGATACGTACTGATGTTGTATTTCAGAACGAGGCTCTCTGGGTCATCATACCATATCTGATATGTTACTGTCTGCAATAGAGGACAAGTTACGTTTTTCTCTAATCATAAAGATGACAGCTAGCAAGATTATAAGAGAGCCTTTGGCACTGGTGAGCTAATAAATTCGAAGATTCAGAAAAGTCTGCTAAATACAGGTAGTACAGCAACTTGGGCTGGCTATACGGTACTACAACTTCGCTCTGCTAAATGGTAGATTCTTTTAAAAGGTAATTATACATTTTTATTACACAAAGAAGCGATATTCTCTAAAGTATTTTGTAATTTTCTACAGTATTTCGTACATATTGGCAAAGATTAAATTATTGAAGGGGACACGCCCCCCCCCCCCCCCCCCCCCCGTCCCTTCTGCCTCAGCTTCCTACAGACATGCATGTTAAAGATCCAACATTACAAGACTGACGAGCAAAGTGTCCAACATTACAAGATAATCATATAAAGGATCTAACATTGCATGATTGTCATGTGAAGGTAACATTATAGTATTGCTATGTTTATGGTATAAAACAAGAAGGATGCCATGTGACAATATTGCAGGAACCCTATTTAAAGGGCTCACAAGATTGCCACGTAAATGATTCATTACAAGATTATCATGTTATGGAAGAAGTATACGGAGTACTTACATTGTTAACGAAGTTAAAGTATGGTGAAAGTGTTTTCTTATCCCATATTCGCCCGGTTGAAGATTTAGGTAGCAATGAAGACATTATATAACTGTAATTGATTTCTGATCCTGCTGCATCACTGCAGTTGATTCCTCGAAAAGGAACATGTTTTATTGCACATTTATTGTCCTGAAATTATTCACATGATCAGTGATAAAAACAACATGGAAAAGAAAAAAAAAACAAATCACATATATTGAAGAGAGATAAAGGAATAAAAATTTTTGATAACCATATTAATTTGGGATTTCACAACAAAAGTCACACAGTTGTTTTCTAGGGCTGGGACGATATATCGAGATATCGATATATCGTGATATATGTGAGGAGATACACATATCGATATATTTGAACAAATATCGAAATATCGCCCCAAAAAATCTTACTTCTGTTTTTCTTTGTTTATTTAATATTTGGGGTTTAATATATAAAATAAATAAGTTAAATATAAATATAGATATAAAATAAATAATAATTAACACCAAATGAGTAAAATATTTTTGTTTTATGAGATAAAAAAAAACTATTTTGAATAAATTATTCTCATTTGCAAAGAAATAATTTGTTTATTTCAATGCAAAAAAAGATTTTATAAGCAATTAAACATATCGTGATACATATCGTATCGTGGCTCAAATATCGTGATACGTATCGATATTGAAAAAGTTGTATCGTCCCAGCCGTATTGTTTTCGCTATCTAGAAATACATGTATGGAAAGGAATCGCCAATCAAACACTTTCCAGAGATCTAGAAATGAATTGCTAACCAAACACTTTTTTAATATCCTGTTCACTTACCTTTGTGATGCTTTCACATTGGTAAATATAGCCATACCATGGTACTCCCAACACTAACTTATTTAAATCGGCTCCCATTTCATAGTACTTGTAAAAACCTTAGGAAGAAACATCAGAGTTATCATAAACACTACGCGGTGTATCTAGTTACGTATTCTATTTAAGGAATGACACTAATTCTTGGCCAGATTATCGAGTATAATATGGTTTGGGTCAGTTTACGCTTTATAATCCGCGAAGCGGATTATAAAAAAGCGTAAACTGACCCAAACCATATTATACTCGATAATCTGGCCAAGAATTAGAGTCATTCCTTATAATTTAATTTTAAAATAATTAAACAACTGGGGATGTAAAATTGTGTTGTTTTTATTAGTTCAAATTTACCGCGCAATAATACAACCGTAGTAACGGAAGTGATGGGAAGCAAGGGGAGGTAAAAACTGATACATAGATCTAGCAGCCATGATGCTTGTTTACATGAGGTAAGATCGAGCAACTGTTTGAAGTTAAAGGTACATTCATTAAATCTGGAATTTTTCATGAATCCGAAGGACTGGAAATGAGGGGATTGATGGATACAGATGATTCAGCTGGTTGTCAAGGGGGTGTGTCCCCATACCAAACCAGATTATACAAAATGTTATGCGTTCCTTTTTGGAAATCAACCAATGAGAGACAAGAATACAAACAGAATTAAATTATTATCTAATCAAATTAGATAGACATGATCTTAAAGCATTTATTACTGGTTTTTTTTCAAAATTTCTTATGATCTTAAAAAAAATGAACCTGATTCTGTTTTGTAGAATCCAGAATTTGCGCCAGCAATACATTCTCCATAGATTTGACTTTGTTCATCATAAGACATAATGAACAAGAAATCACTAACATAACTGAGTTTTAGGTAGTCGTAAAACCTCTGATCAACCCCCACTGGACTCCAAGCCACGTCTACACTAACCTATAGAAACGGAAAACAAGAGACAGTTAAAGAAGGAAGAAAACAATGCTATTTTTTCAACACGATCCCGATCTCAAAAGTCAAATATGTACATTTATATAATTTATTTATAATTAATTTTTCCGTTTGCCTTTTAGTTCATTACCTGATAATTTTTGTTGGCTTGTTTGAATGTCTGATAAGTTTCATTTACAAGAGCGGTATAACCGTCCCTCTGGTCTGTCCTGTCTTCAGCAATGAAGTCTTCGAAGTCGAAATTTATTCCATCCAGGTAGTTTTTCTGTACAATGTTTAGCTGGTCTTTAACCCAGTTACTTCTCTGCGTCGCATTGGTCAGGTTAGCCTTTGGGTAGTTTGCTTTGAAAATATATCATTCAGTTAAGCCATATTAATATTCTTTTTAAAAAGATTGTTTATTATTTTAATTAATATAAGCGTTACCAGCCTTTGTTGTAAAGTAGAATTACCGATTAGAACAGCTCTTGCTCCGTGTTTGTGGGCAAAACACATCAAATCAAGGTTAATATACCCAACCATAACCACGGTGGTCACTTTGGACCAATCATAATGGGTCCATTTTGCTTCTCTCTTATCCAACGAAAATATGAATACCTACAGAAATAATAAACTAAATTTGTTTAAAAAATACATGGGTAAACATACGGAAAATTTAACAATTGCTAACTATATATAAATTTAAATGTTTATAATTTATAAAATTAGAAAATTGCCAACTATATATAAATTTAAATATTTATAATTTATATAATTAGAAACCATCCTTTTCAATCAAATCAGAATGTCTCAAAGTGAAAGCTTACAAAAGATGGTTTTCAGTTAAAACAGAACTTCCTATTTTTCAGATTGCTCAACCAGGCCCCAAGACCAGAAACTGACAACTTTAGGAGATCCAGCACCAGTGCGCAAGCAAGGCGTACCCCCCCCCCCCCTTGATATTTTTTAAATTTGTGTGTATTCCCCTGAAGGGAACTCTTTTACTGTGTTTAATACGCATGCGCTATAAATAAAGTCACTTCCGCGGACGTTCTTGATGTAAACATGTTTATGGTGTAATGCATCTGTCATATGGAAAAATGTTATTGTGCTTGTGAATAAAAAGAAATCTTAACTGATTCGTATTTTTTTTAAATTGCCCACTCATAGTCTCTTTCTGGATTTGTATTAATATGTGTAGTACTATAATAAGGTGCTGTGTGCCCCCCCCCCCCTTACAAAAAAAAAGAAAGAAACAAATTACCGATAAAATGCTGATACGTATTCGAATAGGCCTATTGAAAAAAAAGCTAATAAGCTAATTTTCGGTAGTGGATATTCTGCAGACGGATCATCATTATTTACAAAATGTGCGGAACAAATTTTTAGTTATAAAGTTTTTTTTCTATTATACGTCTCTGTTTTAAGAATTAATCTAGCCTGCTGCAGCCATATTTTCTTTGTATCTCTAGGAATTTTTTGGAGACTGATGATTACCTCTGAAATTGCTGCATATACAGCAGTACTTCGTCTTCCGCGACCGATACCAACAAACTGCGTTTTTGCTCGATTGTATGCCATAACATAGAACTTTTACATGTACAAGAACACATTTGGTGACAATTAAAGGCCTATTTCATTTGAATTAACAGTGTTTCTAGAATTTTTTATTTGTAAAATAATTGATTCACCATATGTAGTATTAAAACTTTGAATAGAATTCTAAATGAATAATTTAATCTCATGTCCTCATGTAACGAAGAAAGACTAATTAAAATAGCATTGACCTGAATTCGTGTTACATATGTCGTATAAAGTCTGAGCTGCATTTAATCAAAGTTTTAGTGTAGGATCTAAGCATATGTACATGTATATTCCCGAGTAAAATACACATTTTGTTTTAGATCAGAGAATTGAGAGCAGAACCACGAAATTGATACAATAATTTCCTAGCGTATTTCTCGTTAATTAACGGAAAACATTCTTTTCTCAACTGTTATTTATTTTTTAAAAATCCTTTCAGTGTAAGTACATGTATTTATTTTTATAAGTTATTCTTTTTTGCAAAGTGTGTAAAAAACAATATGAGAGAGAGAGAGAGAGAGAGAGAGAGAGACTCATGTAACCCCGTGTAACTGACATACATGTACATCTGTGAAAAAATATATATACCGTAATTTTATTGAAATCACAATTATAGTAATTCTAATAATTTTCAATTTTCACAACTATGGTTCATATTCAACTGTTCAACCCATTTACATATTCGTTCTATGTACCTGTACGCACGGGGGGGGGGGGGGGGGGGGGGGGGGGGGTTCAAGGAGCTTAGCCCCACCCCCACTTTTTTCCCAATATTACTTTTTCTATTGAAAATGTTCATTGACAGACATGTTGCCACCCCCCCCCCCCCCCCCCCCCACACACAGTTAATACTACGGTAAAGTTATATAAGAGAAATGTAGTATTGTATGCCAAGGAACTGGTACTGAAATAAGTAGCTTTTTCAACTTTGGGCAAGGTTTTTCTTTGCTTGTCAACTTTTCAAGGTGAGAAAAAAATATTTCTTTGGCTACCCCCCCCCCCCACTTTTAAAGATGATGCTTCGTGTCTGGCTAATTCGTATAGCTTTCTAGAAAGGGGGGGGGGGCTAACAGACCTTTTATAAAATAATTCATTATCTAAAAAAAATGCAAACCGTTTCCTTCTTTTAAAATTTTTAAATACAGTGTGTAAGTTGATCACTATTTTGTTGGATTATCCATAGATCTAAAGCGATTTAGGTCTATGGATTATCGTAATGTGTAGTCCGCGGAAGTTAGGCTAGTGTAGAAGAGTTCCGATTTTGAGGGGAGATAACTCACTTTTGAAAATGGGGAATTAGAGAAAACCACCTCTTATTTGTTAGAATTCTCAGTTTCCGGGATTCACCAGGACTGTGTCCTGAACCCCCTGGAGGCTTCGATGTAGCCCTCAATCAACCCCACCCCCACCCCACCCCCAACCCCCCACTTATGAAATTCCTGGATCCGCCGCTGAACAGAGAACAGACTCAAGTCAAAATTTCAAACCAATATAATCAAAGTTTCATCGAGTTTGAATTTAAATGTTGTACAAAATCGTTTAGAAACATGTATTGGAAGATCCGGGTATGGATTACCCTCCCCCTTTGTAACTAAAGAAAGTGAAAAATGCTACTTTTACTTTCTATTTGCATTTACTTTTGAAAGTTGTTATTTATAAACAAATGCTGTTGTTCAAAATGTGTTGTTAGATACAGTGATTGTATAAGTTTTAAGACATAAATATTATTAATGATGAAAAGTGCATGAACTTTAATTGAATTAAAACCGTAATTTAAGCCTATTTAACTTTTATGAAGACCACATTGACAAACCTCTTTTCGCTTATTATCCTTAACTATATCACACTGCTGTTCATTTTCACAAGGACAAGCACAATTTACAAAGTTTACAAAGCTCACGGTAAAGAAGAAAAGTAAAAATATATAGTTAAACATCGCCTCAATTGTCATGTTTACAAGAATAGATAGGCGTTCCAGGTGCGGTGTGTATTCAAATCGTCCTACAATAGTTCAACACTTCCTTGTAAGATGTATGCAAAGTCCTAAAGATAATCCAACCTCCATAAAAAGTAATAAAGAACCTTAAGTAGTCGAATACATGTACATGTTTAAAATATGTATGTTTTTATGACATATGTACATCACTGTTTCGTATGTAATAAGAACATCTAGCTGGCAATTGATAAAGTATCTTTCGTGCTAATACTTTTGCTCACACCAGCTGTGCTTCAGTTGGGTATGTTTTGTATTTATTTTTTTCTAAGTATCGCGATTTTTAGTCTGATTAATGATAAACCACAGTTAACGAAGGTGTGAATTCATTCATGCAGAGGAAATAAAAAATGTCTGTCTGTCTGTCGGTATAGGAATTTGTTGTTCTGTTATAAGGAAAACAGGAAGAATTATTTTTGAACTGAATTACATGTACATGTCGGATTTTCAATAATATTGTATGAGATAAAACGAGCCCTTGATATTGTTTATTTTTGTGTATGCAAATATTATAGTTTTACCCTTATAAGCATTACTGTACTGTGCATGAAAATTATATAGAAACTTGATTTTAAAACAGAAAGAAACAAGATGTGTTTGTGAAACACTGATGCCTCCGTATGGCAACATAGCAAAGATTAAACTTTTCTTAAATGCAAATTTAATTAATTGGTACCAAAAGTAGGGTATTCTCTTACTTAATTTACTTACTTATCCTCTTCGTCCCCGATGGGACATCAAGGCTTCAATAAGCTGCCTCCATCTTCCTCTATCCTTTGCCACATGCTGTGCATGCCCCCACGAGTAGCCCATTTCCTCTAACTCTGATGTTATAGTTCTTCTCCATGTTGTTCGTGGTCTACATGGCTTCCTCTTTCCAGATGGTGTCCAATGTAAGGCTGTTTTGGGTATCCTGGTCTGAGGCATTCTCATCACGTGTCCAAGCCATCTCATTTTTCTTTGCTTGATTTCTGTTGTTATACTCCTTCTTTTGCTTTTCTTGTGCATGTCTCTGTTAGAGATCTTGTTCGGCCAGAAGATACTGTGGATTTTTCGAAGACCATTGTTGTGGAATGCCTCTACTTTTCTCATGTCGCTGTCAACAACATTCTCACTGGAAAACAATTGTGAAATTTGAAAGTAAGCCAGTGTTAAAGTTTTTTTTTCAGTAAGTACAAAAATCTCCAAGGTCAAGGTCAAAAGGTCAAGGTAATTGGTATCTAATGAATGGTCTTGCCACAAAGAATACTTATGAAGAGTATGGAAGCCTTAGCCCTAACCGTTCAGAAGTTATGGCCAAGGTTAATTTTTTTTAAAGTAGGTCAAACTCCAAGGTCAAGGTCAAAGGGCCAAAGTTCTTGTTTGCAAACGAAAGGTCTTGTCACAAGGATTAAATGTGTAAAGTATGAAAGCACTAGCCGTAACCCTTTAAAAGTTATGGTCAAGGTTTGCTTTTTTAAAGTAGGTCAAACTCAAAAATCAAGGTCAAAGGGTCAAAGTGCTTGGTTTCCATTGAAGGGTCTTCTCACAAGATTACATATATAAAGTATGAAAGCCCTATCCCGTACCGTTCAAAAGTTATGGCCAAGGTTTAAGTTTTTTCACAGGAACGGAAATCTACAAGGTGAAGGTCAAAGGGTCAAGGTTGTTGGTATCCAATGAAAGGTCTTTCAACAAAAATACATATGTGAAGTATAAATGTCCTGGTGTCTACTGTTCAAAAGATATGGCCAAAGTAAAAGTTTAAAATTTTCATGTAAAAGTGGGTCAAACTCCAAGGTCAAAGGTCAAAGGTCAAATTTGGTGGTACCCAAAGAAAGGTCTTGTCACAAGGAATACATTACACGTGTGAAATATGAAATGCTTGGCTCCACTAAATCAAAAGTTATGGGCAAGGTTAACGTTTTTGCGGACAAACAGACAGACAAACGGACAGAGAGAGAGAGAGACAGACAGACAGAGGACGGACAAGACAAAAACTGTATACCACGAAACTTAGTTTACGGGGGCATAAAGATAACAAATTTTTCAAAGAGACTTGCACCACGTAATGTTATATTTTTTGGAATAACAAAGAAATTGAAAATGTCAAAAATCTTTAATATTAGATTTATATTCTCATCATCATTTATTAAGACAAAACAGTATATGCTACTGAACAAACAACTAAAGATAAGCGTGTTTTTATGCGCCCGAATCGAAAGATCCGAGGCGTATATTGTTTTTGTCCTGTCTGTCTGTCTGTTTATCTGTTTGTTGGTCTGCAAACTTTAACCTTCGCCATAATTTTTGAACCATGAATGATACAGACTTCATATTTGGTATGCCTATGTACACCACTAATGAAGCTCTTTCAAATGACACCAAGATCAATGACATTTTGACCTTGACTGTGACCTATATGCTAAAAATAGAGGGGTTTTGCAAACTTTAACCTTTGCCATAACTTTTGAACCATAAAAGATAGAGACTTCATATTTGGTATACTTACAACGCTTATTAAGCTTTTTTAAAAGACACCATGATCAATGACCCTGTGGCCTTGACTGTGGCCTATACGCTTAATATAGCTTTTTTGACGGCAAACTTTAACCTTCGCCATAACTTTTGAATGAAGAAAGATAGAGACTTAATATTTGGCACGTATACTCCACTAATAAAGCCCTTTCACATGACACCAAGGTCAATGACCTTGTGACCTTGACTATGTCAAAATTAGCTTTTTTGAACCTTCACCATAACTTTTGAACCATAAAAGATAGAGACTTGATATTTGGTATGCATACTTCACTAATTAAGATCTTTCAAATGACATCAAGATCAATGACCTTGTGACCATCACTGTGACTTTTATGCTAAAAATGATTTTTTTATTAAATTTGTTGCCGTCGGGCGCATAGTGTTTCACAAACAAATCTTGTTTTTAAATATTAAAAGCCCAGCTTAGCAATTACACATTTTTCTTGATGAAAAGTTGTACTTGAATTATTGTTTAACAAGATAGTTGTTCCAAATTTGTTCACTGATTGTACTCTTTTTTGTGTGTGTTTGTTTAATGTCTTTTCGAGAATTTTTCACTCACATCAAGACGACACCGCTTGGCGGTGAAGGATTGTATATGGCACTTACGACCGTTGAGTAGTACTTAAGGATCTTTTTTGTGCCAGCACGCACTGCAACCCGGGACCTCGGTTTATATGGTCTCATTCGAGAATTCGAAAGGACCGATCGCCATTTCCCGCCTTGGGATTCGAACCTGCGACGTGACTGTAGAGCAATCGCTTTGCCCACTGCGCTAAGCCAGCGATATGGAGATACAAGATATGGTAATGGTACGGTAAACAGTTATTTCATCTAAAAATCTGTGAAAATGATAAAAATGACAGATTTTATTATATATTTATGCTGTAACAAGTTAAAGATGAAAATTCTATGTGATCAGTATATATTATATGTCAAAACTATATGTTATCTATATACAGTGTATTTTGATAAAATGTTTTCTTCTCAAATATAAATGTTCATTAGGAAAGCTTCGTTTCTTAACATTGTAAACGAGAGAACCATACCTCCTAGTTATCAAAATTAATATTAGGAATTTAATGTAGTTCACACAATTTGTATATACAGCGTATGTGGTATATATTCTGTAATATTCATACTTTGATCTCTATGCTAATGAATAATTTTTAAAAAGATAATAATATGCGAATTAACTTTGAAATTCTAAATCAAAATGACAATTTACAGCACGCACTTTTGCACTTAAGATATTGAGTTTCTTCCAGCTGTTACATATAAAATGCTATAGTGTATATAAAATCTTTCCCTGAAACTATCAATTCCATTATGGAATCAACAAAGGTATGCGCATGTAGTTAACAACTTCAACTCGAATAGATAAATACGTCAAGGGTTTCAATAAGATTATAAATATTTCTTTTCATATATGATTTATTTATATTTTATATATGAAAAGACTTAAAAGACGGACAGGCGAAAGCCAGTGGCGTAGCATCGTTTTTGAAAGTGGGGGGCCAGCCAGAGAAAAAAAATTTTTACTTACCTGAAAAAGTTGACAAGCAAAAGGGGGGGGGGGGTAGGTAGGTTAACTTTTTCTCAGTGTCAACTACTTTCAGTACCAATTCTAATACTACATTTTCGGTACATCACTAAAAGTGGGGGGGGGGGGGGGGGGCAACCAGGTTTTCAATTAACATTTCCTATAGTATAAGCAAGGTTGGGAAAAAGGGGGGGGCAGCCCCCCCCCCCCCTGTTGCTACGCCCCTGAAAGCGAAATCATAGTTTGCAAGGATAACATTTTAAAGCCTCTTGTATTGACTGATTATGTTGCCAAAATTTAGATGAAACTATTTCTTACTTTTCCCACATTTTACAGCGAAAGTAAAATGGATTACATATTTCTTTTTCTTTTCCTTCTGGTTAAAAGTGCATTGGGAATGGAGGCTCATTATTCTGTAAAAGGTATGATTTGAATTTAATTAGAGACTATGTGGTTTGTTTATAAGTCCATACGCGCGCCACTATAGTGGACGCGATACTCAGTATATGGAATACAAATATCGATATTGATATATTGATCTCGTATTTCCTAAAGGAGCGATGGGTTACCAGGGGTGTAACACTTCTTATAAAGTATAGTTTCTATACTTATTTTGTAAACATGAAGTTTAAAGTAACATTTGACCATTTAATCTGAGGGTGAGAAGTCATTGGTCAAGTACATATACAGTTATCGTGAGTCTTAGAAATGTGGATACTATTAATGGAGAATCTTTTCATTTCTTCATCTCACGCAAAGTAGCTGAGTTAATCAGTGCCAGGTAATCAGATCAAGCTCAAGAAACACGCGTTTTGATTTGTATCAAAGGTCAGGGTCAAACACTGTGATACATTCAAATTATACTGAGCAGACAGATCAAAGTCTAGCAATTGATTTGACAGTCTCATCTTCTACAACGATGCATGGTGCCTTTAGTGTTAAGAAGCTTATCAACTCTTGTTTGATCTTTTGCTTTATGATTTCTTGTTCCCTTAAATTATAATACAGTATTTTCCCTTCATTTTTCCATTGTTTTTTAAATGCAACCCAATGTTTTTTGTATTTTTTAACATGTTTCCATTTACTAGAAGTCATCCCTCCTACAACAATTGATTGATGAACTATATTCTGAATTTATTTTGTTCATCAAGTTGGTAAAGACTTAAAAAAACTACCAATATATTTCTTAAGGTCATTTGAATTAAATGTAAATATGTTTTGGGTTATTTTAGATCGTGTTAGTGAATATCTGAAGTCTGCTAAATGGAAGCATACAAAGACATATGCCAAACTTAAAACCCCTTTATCTGCATGTAGATATTACTTCAAACTTCAAACTCCCTGCTGGGGTGATTTTGGGCAACGGTAAGTAATTTTTATTATTTGTGTAATTCTACCCGACTTATTTGTTTGTGTAATTCGACTACCCGACTTATTTGTTATCGTCATGTCATGATTTGAAGAATTTAGAATTTACAATACCCAATGATGCTTCAACATACGTTTCAGCTTTTCTGGCCAGGTGGTTCTTGAGAAGAAGATTTTTAAAGTTTGTCCCTATATATTTCTATGTAAAATTTAGATTTCCAATTGTGGCCCCGCCTTACCTTCGAGGGGTCATGATTTGAACAATTTAGAATCTACTCTACCCCAGGATGCTTCAACATAAGTTTCAGCTTTTCTGGCCCAGTGGTTCTTGGGAAGAATGTTTTAATGACCCCACCCTATTTTTGTATTTTCTCGATTATCTCTCCTTGAAAGGAAAATTGGACCTTTATTTTAATAATCTAAATTCTCCTTTACCCAAGAATGTTTTTTACCAAGTTTGGTTAAAATTTGCCCAGTGGCTCTTGAGAAGAAGTTGAAATTATGAAAAGTTTACAAACGTACGAACGGACGGACAGCTAGACAGACGGACAATGGACAATTGGTGATCAGAAAAGCTCATTTGAGCTTTCAGCTCAGGTGAGCTAAAAAATAAGGTTGCTGTACGAGTTGCAAAATGTTTTTGATGACCCTAAAACTATCTCACGATGACGTTATCTCATCCTATTCAGATGATAAATTTTACTCAAATGTTTAAATCTGGAGTCACCTAATAGTTTTGAGAAATACGCTCGAATTTGTCGCGATTGTTGAAATTGGCATCTAACCCTATTTCAATTAAAATTGTTTGCAATTCTGGTACCTCAAGTATAGTAGACTAGCGCATGAGCCAATTTTCATTTGAATAATCTTCGGGTTAATCTAAGGATTCTCCTAGAAATTTGACGCATTGTTACAACGCACTTTGAAAAATTACGCACTTTGAAAAAAATTTTCAAAGTGCGTAAAATTTGGGACCAAATCAACGCACTTTGAAAAAATAAAATTTATTTTCAAAGTGCGTTGATATCGACCATATTAACGCACTTTGAAAAAATGTGTATGGCTTGGTCAATATTCTTGAAAATCTTAGGTATGATAAATAATTGAACCTGTTGGATGACTTTTCGTTGATAAGGTCACTTCTGGACGTGAAAGTGAGCGATTTTGATTTTTTCCATACTTTGAAAATTCGTTCTCTCTTAAATGTTTTACTGTACTTCATTTTTTTTCCAGTTTGCATGCATGCATTTAATGTAAACTAAAATTAAAAGTTTTCAACGTCACACCAGTTATGCAAATATATATATATATATATATATATATATATATATATATATATATATATATATATATATTGGGTGTAGCATAGGCATCAGTACCGGCGGGGGGAGGGTTAGTCACACAAATGTTTTCCAAAGATGTACATAATATAGGAATTTAAAAATGGAGCTTACCTGAAGGAGGGGGGGGGGGGGGGGGTGTTCCACTGTAAATTTGCTATTTAAGTAAAAAAGAGTTAGTCTGAGAGACCTTCTATATACTCATCCTCGCCTAGTTCTCGATGAGGGTTAATCAATACATGTAAATTAAAACGTTTTTCGAAAGATTTAATTACTACAAATTGATTCTCTCAATTAATAAAATCTAAGTTTTTAATTATTGCTTTATACATATATTTTTTTTCAAAGTGCGTTAAATGTCCACATGGTTAAAATGTTGATGTACACTCTTAACGCACTTTGAAAATTTTTTTCAAAGTGCATTGAGTGTGTCCCAAATTTAACGCACTTTGAAAAAATTTTTCAAAGTGCGTTGATTTTGTCCCAATTTTAAAGGGTGAGGAAATAAGCACCTCCTTCAAATTTACCTGGTCTTAGAACCTCTGTCAATCATCTGAAATTAAGCCTGGGATTGGATACTTTGATTTGATTGACATTTAGTTTGCTGCTGTTGTGTATATCTTGTGTACCCTGTCTGGAGATCGTACCGACCATCGAATTAACTTTCAGGCTTTTGATGCCTACCGCACATGCCAACGTGATAAAGAAGCATTCAAATCGTTCTTTTCCTTTTTTTTAATTCATAAGAATATGTCATAAATATAATCAATCTATCAAATAATTAAATAAATGACAAGAAAAATCATGGCTATATAATACATATCATAAATTAAATTTTCAAGTTCAAGTTCAATTTATTCTCTCAAACCATATCAATGGTACATGAGGTTCAACAATATATGTACAATATATACAAAAAATAAAATACAAGATACACGTGAAATGGCGGAAATACATTCAAATAAAGTAACATAAATAATTATGGAGGACAGACTTTTTCATATACTCTATTTATGTAACTGCATAGTTTAATTAATACTTTGTAGTCAGCAGATGACAACAATTCTGAGAATTTGAAAAAATTTGGTCTATTACAATATTTACTAGGAAGATATTTTTTTCTATATTCGGAAAAATATTTACATTCTAAAATGTAGTGATACTCATCAGCTATTTGTCCATTATTACAAAGATTACATTGTCTATCATTTTTGGGAATTCCAAACCATCTCCCAGTCTCAACTGGAAGACGATGATTTGCTGTTCTTAGTTTAATTAAAATTGTTCGAAATTTTTTTGGTAGTAAGGCTAAATATTTTTCAAATCCAAATTCTGTTTTAAAGATACTATAAGTGAGTAAATATTGTAATAGACCAAATTTTTTCAAATTCTCAGAATTGTTGTCATCTGCTGACTACAAAGTATTAATTAAACTATGCAGTTACATAAATAGAGTATATGGATATGGTGCGCATGCGTGAGGAGAGAATGGACGTTTTTCTTGTGCACTGTGCAAAATTTGACTAATTTTGGACCTATACCAGATTTTGTGTAGGAATTTTGTGAAATTTTGTGTGTTCTCTAGCATTGCTATTCAAAGTTTGTTATTTCCGGGATGAATTAAATGTCCGAGTCAGAAAAGCGTCGTCGTCAGTCATCCGATGGGCAGACACCAAAACCTCAGGCAAAGAAAATGGCGAGTTCGACTGGGAATCCAGAAAACTCAGATTTAGATTTGACGGACCGGATGATTATCATTGGGCAGGCTATCGAGAATTTACAGAAAGGTCAGTTACAGTTACAAAAGTCTTTGGATAGTAAATTGGATAAATTCCGAAATGAATTTCTATCAAGTATTGACGAGAAACTCAAAGCTATAAAAAGCGATATTGACCTTGAATGATGTCCTGTCACAGTCCATCGACTCCATTCTGGGGCGACTTGATAAAGTTGGGAAAATAGAACGATAGGTCTTAGAAAATAGTTCAATCCCAATAGCCTGTGCAGGTATTGCATCAAGCACAGATCCGCTAAATGACCCAGAAGTTACAATAATTGCGACCAATGTTGAACAAGAGGCAAATGAAAATATTTTAGAAATCGCCAATGATCTGGTAAGATGTCTTCATGATTCGGTGAATGTAGTAGCAGCAGCTCGTTTAAAAAGTAGAAAATCTGGAAGGCCAGGGATAATTAAGATAAGTTTTTCAAATCTGGAAGAGAAAAAACAAATTCTGCGGGAAAAACAGACACTCAGATTGATAGAAAAATACAAAAATGTTTATCTTCGAGGTAGCAAATCACATACCGAGAGAATCTTGGAATTAAATGCCCGCACGTTGTTAAACGAACTCCCAGATGGAAAACAGTACCGAATTACTGCTAGTGGTCGCATTGTCAAGAAAACGCAGACGGAAAAGAATGCACCGCATCATGTGCAGCACAACCTGGGGGATGAGGACACTGGATAGGAAGCGGCCCGGTCTATTGAACACACAATTAAATTTAGTCACATCAATGTAGGTGGGTGGACGGTTAACAACCATGATTTAAGGGTGTCCCTTATTGAACATATAAATGCAGACATAATAAGCATTAATGAAACTCATCTCAAAGATAACGAGAAATTGGACTTGAACGATCAGGGATATGAATGGTTTGGATACAACAGAAATTCTAAGCATATTCGTGCACCAAAAACATATGGTGGAGTAGGAATTTTGGTAAGGAAAACAATATTACAGCATTTTGTGGTTCGTGTTAATGACAAGTCATGTGAAGGTATCTTAGGGTTGGAATTTAAACACAAAGAATCCGACGTTCGGTTTGCTGTCTACTCTTGTTACCTTCCCCCAGAAAATTCTAATTGGGGACGTGATGCAGAAAAGTTTTATTCGCATATTTTGGCGCAGATCTATTTGAATTATGACATGGATGCCATATTTGTTCTCGGAGATTTAAACTCACGAATTGGACATTCCAAAGATTTTAGTTGTGAATTTGACAATATCCGCGACAGATGCGTAATTGATAATGTTTGCAACAAACATGGGGACTCATTCGTGGAATTCCTAAATGATAGTAAATTTTGTGTATTAAATGGACGATTCGGAGAGAAATCGAACCGATTCACTTCCATCTCAACCAGAGGGAAAGCGGTTGTCGATTATGCATGTATACCTCATGATGTTTTACCACATTGTACGGAATTCCAAATAGTGTCATGCGGGAGTATTATAGAAGAAAAAGGCATACAATCCGCTCTAGGAACTAAATGTAAATGTCCAGATCATGCATTTTTGGTATTTGACTATCAGTATAGGTTTGAAGCAAAGGATATAGTTAAACAAATGCATCCTACGGATAAACTTACTGAGAACAATTTGAGTGATAAGTCACGGAAACATTTTAAATTAAAAAGCATCCCCCCTGATTTTATGTGTTCAGACCTTGTGAAAACTTCCTTACTAGAATTGATTAGAAATATTGAACTTTGTAGAGAAACACAGAAGGAAATTGATGACATCTATTCAAAATTTTGTGAAATAACAGTCAAAGAAATGGAGAGGAAAATACCGCACAAAGACTGCTCAAAACGAACTCGGAAAAAATTGCGACAAACTAAACCTTATTGGAATGATGAACTTACTAGTCTATGGAAAGATATGCGCAATAAAGAAAAGATTTTTCTAAAGGAAAAAGATCATAAACGGAAACGAAATGCTAGATTGGACTTTTCTTCTTCACAAAAAGGATTTGACAAACGGTTACGTTTTTATGAAAGGAAATATAGATCGGACCTTGCACTTGAAATAGAGAAAATTTCAACTGAAAATCCTAGAAAATTTTGGGATCAGCTTGACAAACTTGGCCCTAGAAAGAAAAATGTGATACCAATGGAAATCTATAAAGAAAACGGAGAAACAACTTCGGACATAGATGAAGTACTTCGTAAATGGGAGAATGATTTTTCAAATCTATACGCTCAAAGTGGTTCGAATTTTGATAATTTTGATAATTCATTTTATAACACTGCATTACAACATAAGCAAATGCTAGAGGATATTATGATTGACCCTCTCTATGTACCAAACATGTATTTAAACGAAAATATTTCACGTGAGGAAGTCGCACAGGTTGTTTTACATTCCAAGGACGGGAAAGCTGCGGGAATAGATCTACTCTATAATGAAGTCATGAAAAACAATGATATCATTTCAGTGTTACACAAACTATTTCAATTGTGCTTTGAAATCGGTAAAGTTCCTTCTATATGGAGAATGGCGATTATACACCCTATTCCAAAAAGTTCACAACTAGATCAACGAATCCCTTTAAACTTTCGTGGAATAAGTTTGCTTTCAGTAGTAGCCAAATTCTATAGTTCTATTTTAAACAATAGACTACAAACATATCTGGAAGACAATTCCATTTTAGTTGATGAGCAAAATGGTTTCCGTAGAGAAAGATCATGCGTAGATCATGTGTTTGTATTAAACAGTATAATTCAGAACCGAAAGTCAACATTCGCAACGTTTATAGATTTCCAAAAAGCATTTGATCTGGTAGACAGACAACTGTTACAATATAAGCTTAGGCTCAATGGAATTGATGGTGATATGTATAATGCCATTTCTAGCCTTTATCTATTGACTGAATCCTGTGTGCGTTTGAATAATCTTCATACAAGTTGGTTCACTAGTCAAAACGGGGTCCGCCAGGGAGATAATTTATCACCTACACTGTTCTCAATTTTTATCAACGACTTAGCGGTGAATATTAAGGAAACAAATATAGGAATTCCAATTAATGACGAAAAAGTTTCTTTACTTTTATACGCCGATGATATCGTGTTATTAACAGAAAATGAGGATGATATGCAAGTTTTACTGGACTTATTTTATAATTGGTGCTTAAAGTGGCGTTTAAATGTAAATATCGAAAAGTCAAATGTTGTGCATTTTCGTAAAGGGCGTCAACCGCGCACTAAATTCGAATTCAGGTTAGGAAGTGAGAAATTACAGATCGTTCCACAATATAAATACCTTGGAATTATTTTTCATGAGAAGCAGTCCTCTTTATATGTTGCAGCGGAAACTCTAGCGAAGGCCGGAGGCAGGGCACTGGGTGGAGTGATTTCTAGAATACATTCTTATAAGGATGTTGGATTCAGAACATACGAAAACCTTTATGATTCCTGTGTTGTGCCAGTTCTTGATTATTGTTCGGGAGTATGGGGTTATAATGTTTTTCATAAAATTGATATGGTGCAAAATCGTGCAATCCGTTATTTTCTGGGGCTTCACCGATTTACCCCTTTATTTGCCCTTAACAGCGAAGTTGGATGGCTACCCTCTACACAGCGACGTTGGCTGAATATATTTCGCCTTTGGAACCGAATTCTTCAGTTGGAAAATGACAGATTAACGAAAAAAGTTTTCATTTGGGATTATAATATGCAGGGTGTGTGGTGTTCACAAATCAAAAATATTTTTGATAGTCTCAACAGTAGCAGTCTCTTTCAAAACCAGCAAATAGTAAATACCGAACACATGTACCAAAAACTTCGTCAATATGCTGAAAATGAATGGAAAATGAAAATACAATCATCACCAAAATTAAGGACATATATTTCCTTCAAAGTTAATTGTGAAACCGAACCATATGTTGTATCTAATATTTCAAAAAACGAACGATCAGCCTTGGCACAGTTCAGATGTGGAGTGCTTCCCTTACGCATTGAAACCGGTCGATATAAAAATGAACCCTTAAGTGAAAGAACGTGTGTTTTCTGTTCTAGTTCTGTTGTTGAAGACGAAAAACATTTCTTATTAGACTGTCAATTGTATAATAATGTTAGGAAAAAATATTTTGATAGCGTGTACAAAGAGCACCCAAATAGTAATGATAATGATTATTTGTTCAAAGTTCTAAATCAAAATTACCAAATAAAGTTAGCCAAATTTGTACATTCAGCATATAACCATAGAAAGAATCTTCTGCATGTGTAAATTTATATAAATGTTATTAATGGAAAAAGTGACTTATAGGTCCAATGGGCCGGGTGCAGATTCAGTTTGACGTATTTTGTTTACACTGTATATTGAAATGTCTAAAATGCACAATGTCACTATAATAAATGATTACTTACTTACTTACTTACTATATGAAAAAGTCTGTCCTCCATAATTATTTATGTTACTTTATTTGAATGTATTTCCGCCATTTCACGTGTATCTTGTATTTTATTTTTTGTATATATTGTACATATATTGTTGAACCTCATGTACCATTGATATGGTTTGAGAGAATAAATTGAACTTGAACTTGAAAAAAGGGAGGTTTCACGATTATAATCGATGATTTTAATTTCCGTGTCAAAATATGAGTTAACGTACATTTATTCCTCCATTAATTAACAAAATAAACCGACCTGTGATTGAAGCTAGTATCATGGAATTAAAAAAAATATTTTTTAAAACAAGTATGACAACATTGTTCATGAGTCAAGCGAATTTATATTTATAAGACAAACCTGTACGTGTCGCTTTTCTTCGAGACATGGTGACAAAGTTACGGTATAATAATGTTTTAGAAGAGAAATTACTCAGAATATTATATCTTGCTTTGTATTTAATGTTTGAAATTAATAATGAATCCCGAAAGAAAAAAAAACGATGCAGATGATTCTTTTCCCGTTTCATAGCTGTCGGGGAATCAACCACGGTCCGAAGCCCTGGCCATTTTTACCGACCATGCTTTACGGAAAAATCAAGTAGGGTTTATCTTACAAAGATATTTATTTAAACAATAATATTTCTACTTCAACATTTTATTCTCAAAACATCGTTTCTAGGTTTCATTGTTATATACCGAGAGACTGTTTTATGATTCACTTTCTTCTTTCGTTTTGCGTAGACGACGTGTAATTTGAATGACTTCCCTTTTTGTCGCCAGATTACAAATACAGATTTTGGTGCTAAATGTATTTTCGTTATAACACTTCATTAAGAAACACACTGTATATAAAAAATGTCGAATTATTAAAAATATCAATTATTTTAAAAGAAAGAAATTAAGAAGGATTCTGTCTGCAACAAAAAATGCTTTATTTCGCATTTCAATTCATGAGCTAAACAGGAAAAAAAAACGGTCTCGGTTTACAAAGTCGTAGGAAAACGCATACAGGTAATACACTCATGGGCTCAGGTAACATCCTGTGTATAGAGGTAGTATACACAAGCCAGCGTTGTTCCCTCGGGGCTTCTCAGTCGCTTCGATTAAGCTCCACCCCACACCAAACTTACCTGAGGAAAACCGTACGGTTGAAAACCTCGGCCTTTAACGCACTTTGAATTTTTTTTCAAAGTGCGTAATTTTTTCAAAGTGCGTTGCCACAACGCATGAATGCCCATCAAGCATACATTACAGATTTTCCTACTGAATTTAAAAAAAACTCTTCTCACTTTCCCCAATTTATCTTTGCACAGATAACTAGCAAAAGAAACGCCCAATGACAACCGTACAATAAACACTTGTACTCACCAATGTGCATGAATGTTTTGAATCATAAATTATATTTTTGCAGTCAAAACTCGACGTGATTGTGAAGAAATTCTACAGCAGAATCCTAGCACAAGACGAAAAGATGGCGTATACACCATATATCCAGACAGGAGACGTGCTACAAGAGTCTACTGTGATATGACGACGGACGGAGGCGGTTGGACGGTATACTGATCAGTATATTTAGTATATTAAAGATGCGTTTTGTCGACCCTCGAACCAAACTGCCTGCCTGAGGCCGTAAGGCCGTAAGGTTCTTGGGTTACAAAACGCATGTTGCCATCGAACTGAGTCAATAAATGTATAATGTTGACCTCCCAAGACAAGTTATAACGAGTTAATTCTCCTGTTGAAACAAGTTTGTCAAATTCGTTATTACGAGTTATTATAAAGAACGAGTTAAATATCTCATTTTACTGAGTTGATTATCTCGTTATAAGGAACTGAATATCTCGTTTTTCTAGTTAATTTTTGCTATAATGAGTTGATTATCTCGTTATAACTAGTTCATTCATTCATTCATCTTTTATTTCCTCTGTTACAGAGATTTTTGACATGACAATGACATATAAATTATAACTCAATCACAATGTGAGAAAAAAAAGGAATACATATTGTAATAGTCCGAAATATCTGACGTTTTCCAGACTTTTTTTTACGATTTTGATATTTTACATGGCAGGAAAACGTCAGAACCGGCGCCATTACGAAAACTGGAAATTTCGCCGTCTTCAACCAGAGTTGATTTTAAATACTCGTGAACCGAACTAAATGCCGAAATCAGAATTTATCGGAAGCACAATGCTTATAGTACTCACCAATATTAATGAAAAGAAAATATCACTCCACATTTCGTTACAGATCTTGCAAGATTTTGAAATGCACGAAATGTTAACAAATCTCATCAGTCTGATAAAATGTTTTCAACTGAATGTATATTTTATAAATGAACCATAGAAACGATATTGGTAAGTACTCAAAGAATTGCACTATTCATAACTTTTGACTTTGAAATTTAATTCGGTTTGCAAGTATCTAAATTCATCTCGAGAATGCCGCCTCCGGTTGGAGGCGGCGATTTCCCAGTTTTCGTAATGGCGCCGGTTCTGACGTTTTCCTGGCACGTAAAATATCAAAATCTTTAAAAGCCTGGAAAATGTCAGATATTTCGGACTAATATTGTAAGTAATAAAAAGAAAAGAAAAAATAGAACAAAAATACACAAAACTGAAAAAAGCAGTAAATTTTACACATATGATACACTATATTATGTAAAGGATAGCCATCCAAGCAGGGAGTGGGGACGGTGGGGGGTTATCCATTTACAAATCTGAGATTGCATTGTCTATTGTAGAGTGCACAAGAGGAGACGGTGTGTACGTAATTCAGTTTTCTAAACTGGATTTCTTTTTCTGCTGACAATATTGTAAGTGGTGGTCTTCCAAGAAGAATGTTGAATAACTCATCTTCAGGAAGACCACATAGTTCAGCTTCAAGGTGAACGTTAAACGATTCTGAGAGAGAGTTCCACCATATGTTATGTTGGTTCAAGAGGGCTGGACAGGATATTGTCGCATGTGAAAAAACGTCTGTAATAGGGTAACTGCATAACATGCATGTAAACGGATTTTGAGCGGGTTTTGATGCAATAAGTTTGCAGATGAATTTAAAGTTTCGAATTTCGTTGAAAGAATCTGCAAATTTCCACATGTTGAAAGGTTTCGATGTACAAAATACAGCATTAAATCTGAGAAAATCTGGGTCAAACTCAGTTCGTCGTTGCGTTGGAGAGTGTGGTTTTTGTGAACAGCTGAACGCACTATAGATTTCCATGATGATTTTGATGGGAACGATCCAGAAGAGAGCCAGGTATTCAAGTAATGTGAGAGTTCATACGTCTGAAGAAGGAACAATGCATCCGGAATGAATCCCATTTGGTCTCCAGTTCCAGTTAGTTGATAGAGGAAGGAGAAAAGGCGTGATGTAAAGATCTTTTTTGAAAGATAGTTGAGATCTAGTCTACAAAGTCTGCCAAAGAAAAGAAGTTTCCTGGTATCAATTTCCGCAGTGATTGGTAGAAGACCCATGAGTTGTTCACAAATATCTGATCTGGTAAGTTTAGGAAGGTTCAAAACTTGTTTGCATATTCCGTGTTGGAGTGTGTTGAGGCGTCTTATATCTTGGTTCACCATGTGGTTCCACAGTTCACAACCATAAAGAACGGATGGCATGACTATAGTTCTATAGAGATGAGACATCGTCACTGGGTTTACAAGAGATATATTCATGTCAGTTAATGCGTAGAATGATTTCCAACCCTTGGAGCAAGCGTTGATGACTCGAGATCTTGATTTAGTATTGTTGCTAATAGGAATTCCTAGATGTTCGTAGACGTTTCCGTATTGTATTTTAGAGTCTCCTAAGTTAATGTCTCTTTCTGCAGGATGACTTTAGCCTTTAGCACGGAATTGCAGGATGCTTGACTTGGAAGCGTTGTATTCAAAACGCCATAGACAGGCATATCGGTACGCAATGTTCATCATCGACTGCAGAGATGAGGGAGAGAGTGCAATGCATGCGATGTCATCTGCGAGAGCTGGAGAGTGGTAATTGGTATCGAATATAACAGCACTAGTGTGGTTTGAGTTCTTGGGTTGTAGTTCATTTAACAAGTCGTTAATGAAAACAAGATAGAGAAAAGTTGAAAGAACACCTCCTTGTCTGACACCTTGTTGTACGGGGAACCAACGAGACATAGTTTGATTAACAATTACAGCGCTTTCAGTGTTGATATGACAGTCGTCGATGATTTTCCAGATTTGACCTGAAATGCCTAACTTATTTAATTTTAACATCAAACCTTGCCTCCAAACAGTATCAAACGCTTTACTTGTATCTAAAAAACTTATGTAGACATTACTTCCCATCTCAAGATTGTGATACAGAGTTTCATGTAGATTAAATGACGCTGTAAGACATCCTAATCCTTTCTGAAAACCTTGCTGTTGTGTATTTGGAAAAGGTTGAGACAGTTCCAAGGAAGATATTTTGACAGAGATGATTTTTTCGAATATTTTGAAGAGACAAGGCAACAGGGCAACTGGGCGGTAGCTGTTACATGAGTGTTTCGGTTTAGAACCTCCTTTATATATGGGAGCGATTAATCCGCGTTTCCACTGTAAGGGGACACAACCGACACTAATTACAGCGTTGTACAGTTTGCTGAGACAAGAAACTATGTTATAACTAGTTAATTTTTGCTATTAAGAGTTAATTTTTTTTCGTTATAACTAGATATTAGGTCGTTATAATCTCCTTATAACGAGTAAATTATTTTTCATACTGTCAAAAATGAGCCTATCCGGCATTTTTAAGCTAATATTTTTTTTTACAATGAAAATGTCCTATTATATTTCTGTTGAAAGGAATAACCCCAAAATAGCTATTTAACACTTCCGTATTGAAAACAAGAAAATTTGTTCTGATATTTTTCTTTTATGATCATATCTTCGGTATTTGAAATGTTGACCAACTATTGGATCTTTGCAGTAACCAGATTGAAAAAGATGGGATTCATGGCCGTAGGAAACAAAGGGGGGGGGGGTGTCCGGCATCCGTCTGTCTAGCTGTCTTTCTGTCTGCCTGTATCTTGTCTAGTCTGTCATGTTAGATGTAATCTTTGCACATTTTCCTCCTCTTCTCTAGAACTACTGAGCCAATTTCAACCAAACTTGCCACTAAGCATTTGTGGGTATAGTTTTTTTTTTTCAAAGGAAGTGCCATGTCCTATATTTACGCAAGCCCAATGAGCTCATTTTCGTAGGTGAAAAAAAAAATCGCGTTATAACGCAAAAGTTTTGCGATATAACGCGTAACTTTTGCGTTATGATAGAAATATATATATAGTCATATTAAGTTGAAAACCTTCTCAGGTAGTGTAAAATGAAGTTTGTTCTTGTCCCCCTGTCTTAGGATGGAGCCATAAAAGGTGATCAACATTTTACATACATATATAGGAAAAGAATTTGCTAAAGAAGAATAGAAGGGTTATAGTTTCTTTCGTGATCGCATTGTTGCCCTTGGGCCACTTTATTGGCATTCGTAAAAAATGTATGAAAAGTATATTTACATATAAGTATTAAGACAGGTAAGACATTCTTTCACATTAAAAAAAAAGTTCATGAAAGGAAATTCAGTATAATTTGAAATTATATTATATGTGAGCATAGCATATAAGCCATAGCGTGATTATTGTCTAAAGTACTATGGCTTTGATGTTAGGGACATAATGCTTTCTTCCACAGTAAGCTAAATATAAATTCTTAAACAGCAAGCATTTACAAAATAATGTGTGAAATTACTTTTGTGGAAATCTCGGTAATGTGAATATGATCCCAAACTTTTCAGGTCATACAGAGAAGATTTGACGGACAAACTGATTTCCGTAAAAAATGGAACGACTACAAAAAAGGATTTGGTGATGTTAGCAAGGAATACTGGTTAGGTAAAATATTGTGCATTTGTCATGTTTTGTGATCATTTTTCATCTCTGTACTTGTGACCTTTTTATTTTTGATATTTGTTTTGGTTAGCAGTTCCTCACCGTCGGAAACCCACGGCTGATTACGCTTCGTTCCTCTCTCCATCATGTGATGGAGAGAGGAACGAAGCGTAATCAGCCGTGGGTTTCCGACGATGGCAGTTCCTTAAATTACGTCTTCAAAATATGCGTTCAATGTGTAATAAAAAATCTGCGAAAATTCTGTTCTGTTTTACTGTTTATAAAAGATACAATTCTACGTAAAAATAACAAATTCTAAACTTTCACATTTGTATTGAAAGAGGAAAATTATGATTTAAAAGTCGCCGAAGTTTTCACATTTATATTAAAACGCATATATGAATTTTACATTAGACTGATTTTAATTAGAAAAGTGCACTGACACCTGGAAGCCTTTATGAATAGCGGACCATATATTTTTTCTATCTATTCTTTTTTATAATCATGGAATTTTATCAAATAAATTAATAATTGAAAAGTAAGTAAAATAAAAAAAAAAATACAATTTAAGAAAATTTAATGAATAACAACAGTATTTTTGTATCTTCTTTTCATCTTTTGATGGAATTAGGAAATGACCTTATCCATGCCTTAACAAGTGGAAGAAACCAGGTATTACGAATAAATATGAAAAAGTTCAGTGGCTCTATGGTGTATGCCCAATATTCCCGCTTCTCAGTTGCAAGAGAGTCTAACAAATATCGACTGACTATCAGTGGATACAAGGGAAATGCTGGTAGGGGCAATACATGTTCAATAATATCATTGAAAATAAATTATATATTTTTTATTATAATTTGCTTATAAATTATTTAGCATGAAACAGTCTAATCGAAAATTTCAGGAGACATGCTGATAAGAAATCATAATCTGAATGGGATGTATTTCTCCACCATGGATCGTGACAATGACGCGTCTAGTAGAGGACATTGTGCTGATTCCATTTCTGGAGGATGGTGGTACAAAGACTGCACATACGCTTTCCTTAATCGTATTTATCCGCCCTCAGACAAGAAATCATCCGGATTTCTCTTTTGGGGAAGAAATTTTGAAAACATGAAAACAACCAAAATGATGATACGGTCGAAAAATTAAAAGAAAATGTTTAGCTTATATATATAAAAACAGAAGTATCAAAATATAATTTATTATATTTATTTATCTTACAAGTGTACCACAGGAATAAATCGGAAAACCCCAAAATAATAGTTCCACACAAAAATGCTCCATCTCTTTGATAATGGAAAGTGGGGTATTTTTCGTGTTGATCGGTAATTTTGGGGTTTTACCGGTTTATTCTTATGGTACGTGTACACTTGCAATAAATATAATTTTTAGAGACGAAAAAGCCTCCACGAACTCAAGCGCCAGAGTTAGACATAAGGAGGGAGACAAAAGTACCTGTGATTGTTTCCAATCGGATGTTATTTGACAGGTAGACTTCAAAACTAAAAGGGTGCACAGAGTGCATATAAAATGCATATCACGGCAGAGTCCATATAAAACACAATTAGCACACTATACGTTCCTGCATTATTTTACACAGGAAATCAATATGAATAGAATCGTTTGATATGAGTCATATTCAAGGGATAAGGGGTAAACATGGGGTATAAATAATCTTTAAACGTCCACCACATTCATTTCGACATAACAAACCATTTGCAACGATTCGTACATTTAATTGAGTATATGAATGAGTTATATATGAATATAATGGCAGTGTCCATGTTTTGCATGGGAAACCAAAAATATGTGTCGGATCAAAAATTAAGATAGAAGGTGCACAATAGCAATATGTAATACAGATTCTGTAAAAGTTTCACCAAATTTCATTCAGTGGTAAGAGAGAGATGGGTACCCCAAAGCGTAGCAGACGAACGGACATCCCGATTGCTATATACCCTCCCGCTTTTCAAGGGGGTGGGGGTATAATGAAAGCACAATAATTAAATAATATTATTTACTCTGACATTACTGAGGTTTTATGAAACTAAAACTCGAGTTCTACTGAAACAAAACAGACAGAAGCTTATACAGGATAAAACTATGCCACTCAGTTAACTGAAAGTTTAATTAAACGTTACTGAATTCCAGAGATCCACTATTCAGTCACCTTTCAGTGGCCATTCAGTCGACTGAAAGGAGCAATTTCATTATATGTTACTCAACAAACAAAAACAACTATAATACATGTATGTGAAACGTTGCATTTTAGTACAACAGTATGTTGTAGAGTAGGTATCAGATTGGAAACCCTTGGCTAGCGAAGATGCGTTTTTCTATAAAGTATTTAACATCTGCAGACGGATTGGTTTAGAGATTATGAAATTAGAAACAAACACACTAAAAATGAACTAATTCAATTATTTGCAACTTATTTTACTCGTTTGGGATCGGCATCTCATTTTTTGAAGTTGTGTCAAAAAAGTAATATTTATAACGTTTTTTTTTTCATTTGTTAGTGTGTTTTTCCCAGATAATTTGATTTTGGAGTAAACGGTAAACATGGAGAATAAAATGGAATGGCCTATGTCATTTCATAGGGCCGCCTCTTCAAGGGTACACTTTATACAACATAACCAACCTCTGAATTTCAATTTCATTTAAATTTTGATCTAATGATCAGATCTCCTATCTTCTTGATTTACTTTACGTATGAACTGTAGGAATCTTTTCATTTTAAAAGGATACGTGGTTCCACACTGACATTTAGTCTTCGGATACACGTCTTCCCAAAAAATTGTTAGAATGCCGATGGGCATTTAATTTATCATGCTCTTTAATAAATCGACTTGTTTATATATTCCTCTGAAGCAGAATTTACTCAAAAACACCTACATGAAAAGAATAAAACACTTCACCCTGGACTTCGGAGAAGAACACTTCGATGAATGCGCGGATCTAGACCGGGGGGGGGGGGGGGGTCAGGACCCCCCTCCCTCTGGAATTTACAAGGTTAAAAAATGTAATACTAAAGCAAGAAAAAAGTTACCAAGGAGCCCCCTTGGAAAACGCCCCCCCCCCCCCCCCCGGTTAACGCGAATATGTGTGAAATGGGTATGAAAAGTGAAAGATTTGAGGCAATAGAAGTCATAGACTACCCCCCCCCCCTCCCTTATCAAATAGGTTTTTGACGTGTTGACGTTTGAGCGAGTTTAGGGTTTGTTTTGTTTTTTGCTTGTCAAGAAATTTCTGGGATTGGACTTTTTTTTTGACTGGGGTGGAACCCCCCCCCCCCCGGAAAAAATTTCTGGATCCGTGCCTGCTGTTCAAAGATTTATTTTTTGAGAATTATATTAACCTTTTTATAATTTTACAATTTACTTTAAAATATGCTATAAAAGGGCTTCATATTTTAGAGGACATATAATTTAAAACGTTTTAGATTTTTAAACACTTTTAAGGATCATATTTCAACTTTAACTCAAATGCAGACAACACTGGAGAAGTTCATTTCAAATTATAACATTATTTAATTTTCATAACATTTCAAATCAAGGAATTCAAAGCTATGACATACCAAATCATATTAATGTTATCATGTAGATCTGTCTCAATTCGTACCAATATGTAGGAATACCATCTTTTAAAATCGCTACATTTGTGACGCACAAGAAAGTCACTTTGCCTCTCTGCCCTCTACCAGTAAATCAAATCAACCACAAAACTGTTTTATAAAACTTATATTTATTGCACATTTACACATTACAAATGAATGATTAAATACATGTATTCTGAAGTAACTAACATCTACATGAAACAAAACTAAAGAACTAACAAATCTACTAAAAAGACAATCGACTTGTACTTCACTAAACAGACGAAGATTGAACAATCAATTGGACTTGATTCTTTTAAGCATGCATTGCTAATTAGAAAAAAGCAATTCAATGAGAAGGGAGTTTAATTTATGAATCAAACTGAAAATTACATCTCTTGTACGTTTTGGAACTCAATTTGTCGGGGACTGTTCTCCTTATATTAATGACATCAAGCTAGTTATTTACATTATACAAGTAGTATTGTATATTCTTGGACTATAAAAGCTTTGTATAATATGTATATTGTTTTTATTTTTACGCGAACTAACATATAGTGAATATAGCTGGATGGATCTCACACAGCTTCAACAGAAAATTGGTGTCCATGTGTGTCATCTATATTTCCACAAAAATTTTTACAAATATGGAATTACATATTAATTGTAAATTACCTACTTTCACCAGACGACAAAAGATATCTGTATAAACTTATAAGGATTTCAGACTTTTCTGTTAAGCACTATTAATTTTTCAAGCTGAAGTATATCATCATTATGCATTAATTGTGTTGCATTAATACAGACATGACAACTACATTTTTATTCTTGTCACCAGGACTTACAATTATCAAATTTATAGTAAATAAGAATTTCAGGGGGGAAAACAAAACAAAAGCAATGCATGTAAGTTGAGAGGGTTTAAGTTTTTGGTTTGATCAATTCATGACAAATCGTCCATTGTGGTCCGTGGTCAGATTGGGCACGTGACCATTACACTCGGGGTGATAGTCTGGATCCTCAAGGTTCAGGTCCTCAATTTCCAAATCCATCGACTTCAAGAAAGAATACACAAGTTGGATTATTTATTGTAAGAATAGTCAGCTGTGTGTGTCTTTGGGATAAACTCGTAAAATGCTGCAAGAAGTTTTTCTCTAAATATGAAATCATCCTCAGGTAGAGGAGATTCACCCTTATTTGATAGAATAAAATACACAAGGAAAAATTTCAACTTGTTCCATATTACAGCTAAGGGTTGTGTTCATCTTCTTAACTTCCCTGATTCAGTTTGCCAATTTTATGCAAGTGATGTGCAGCAAATGCAAACTTCAAAGAATACAGGTCATGGTCAGATTTGGTGATCTTTTACTACAACAGTTTTCATGAAATGGTCTTGTGATGTCTGTTTCAAATTAATGTAATCTAGACTTAATTACATCTATTTCATATACTTCCTGAATTAAAAGCTTGTCTTTCTGTTTTAATGTAAATATTTTTCATGCCAGACCCATTCTTAGGTGCAAATGATTTCTTACCACTCTTTCAGAGTATCTGAATTAAAATTCAACAAGAGGCCCAGGGGCCGCTTCGCTCACCTGAGCTCTGGCTATGTAAAACTAACAGCAAAAATAAATTCAGTATTGAAAAATTTTAATATTAATGTAGGTTCAAGTGGGATCATGATTTGAACAAACTTGAATCTATACAACATGAAGATGCTTCCATATAACTATGACCAATCATGGCTTTGCTGTTCTGGAGAAGATTTTTAAAGATATTCCCTGTGTATTCCTATGTTAAAGTTTGACCCCCATTGTGGCCCCACCATACCCCTAAGAGTCATGATTTGAACAAACTTGAATCTACACTACCTGAGGATGCTTCCACGTGAGTTTCAACTTTCCTGGCCCTTTGGTTCCTGAGAAGATTTTAAAGATTTCCCCTGTATTCTTATGTTAAACTTTAATACCCCCCCCCCCCCCACATTGTGGCCCCATCCTATCCCCAGGGTTCATGATTTGAACAAACTTGATTCTACAGTACCAGAGGATGCTTCCACATGAGTTTCAATTTTCCTGGCCCAGTGGTTCTGGAGAAGAAGATTTTTAAAGATTTTCCCTATATATTCCTATTTCTTTGACCCCCAATTGTGGCCCCACCCTTCCCCTGGAGGTCATGATTTGAACAAACTTGAATCTGTACTACCTGAGGATGCTTCCGAGAGTTTCATCTTTCCTGGCCCAGTGGTTCTTGAGAAGAAGATTTTTAAAACATGCCATTTTACTAATTCATATTAGTAAAAATAAGGAGCCTTCGGCTCAGGTGAGCTATTAAAATGCTAATTTGTGACTTTTGAATATCCCTTATCCTGCTGTAATTAATACCATAATTCATTTTACATCCATCTGCAGTGCACTCCATATTGTTCAGTCTTGTACACAAACTACATGTGTATACCCAAGTTTCATTGGAAATATCAAAATTTCTAAGATCAATTGGCAGTATGTCTAAATATTCACCAAAATCATAATTATAGTAGCTGGTGCTTTACCACTAATTGCTTTCTTTTTTTGCTCTTGATTTTAATTTACTTATATTTCTAAAGT